CAAGCACTTGGGATTCAAATTGCAGAAGCTGTCCCATGAAGCTAAAGTTGGGCGAGATGATGCTGCGCCGCTGTTTGACAAACTCAAAGGCCTCTTCAAGTTTGACGCGGTTGGTGCGCATCAGATAAGCCAAACAGATGGTAGCAGAGCGCGAAATACCCGCTTGGCAGTGAACGAAGACGCGTCCACCTTTATTCCGTACAGAATCTGTGGGGGGGGGAAAGGAGTGTACTGGTTAAAACTCAATTAAACCAGCTCAACCTTATCAGCAGTTTCAACAGCTTCTCTAATCACACATTTACTTGCAAATTATACTCTGCAGGTTTGCTAATCAAGGAAGCCATCTCATTAAAGAAAAGTTAAACTAGGCAGGGGTTCGAGTAAGAGGGGAAACACCCCCCGACAGGCCTGAATACACAATAGGGGGGTTGCAGCATCCCTGCTAAGTGCACGGATCTGATAGGAGGGCAACAGAGACCCAGAGACACTCGCTTTTGTTCAGGCTAAACAAAGGATGCAAAGCATTCAGACGGAGCCAGTTGCCCCATGAAAAGATCAGGTCACAGCCTGGTGTTATTTGAAAAGGGGGCACCTCTTTAAACCGGATGAGAGGATGATGTAAACCTTAGTGGCTGTCAGGCCAGGGACGTACAGCTGGTCGAAATGGAGGGAACTTTTGAAAAACTGAATTCAGACATAATGGGGGTTGGGCTGGGAGTCTGCCTGCCTGCCAAAGCTGCTCATATGGTGACATCTGTTCCCTATTTCGTAACAGGGGTTTGAATAATATCAGCGAAAAATGATACTCACCGATAAATTCGATGGCTTCATTGAACCAGGAACTGATGTTGGCTTTGTGGTTGTCCTCAACAGGAATACTCTTGTACTGATAGTGGTCTTCAAAGTGGTTGGGGCAGTTGGAGGAGACGTTAATAAGGGCTGTGATTCCTAGCATGTCCAGCATGTCTTTTCTGGAGGCGTGATAAGCACTGCCTAAATATAAGAATGGCAAGATTTCTACAGGGCCACCCTAAAGAATAAAACAAAGAAAATTAGTGGACAAGTTCACTCGTAATGATCCAAAACTAGTCTTATTTACAGCACAGCTGCTTATTTAAAGAATATGTATAGGTTACCTGATCATACAGAGGGGTTGCACATGAGTTACAGGAGGAGTCAGCAGGGTTTGGATGGCAGCTAGAGCTCAGAGGTAAACTCAAGCCTTGTGGGGGAGCTGGCTTTGTGCACATTTCAGGAAACTCAGAGGAAAACGTCTCGAATCCACCTAAAAAACAGTAAATTAGAAATCATTATTTTTAACAAAATTGGAATTCACAAGCGTCTAATTGTCAAAAGCTTAAGAAAACATTTGGTCGCACTTTTAAGTACACAAAACATTCACAGTACACGAGTATATGGAATGGTATTATAATAAAATAGCCCCAAATATAGTTCAAGAAGAATCTTTTCGTACCTTTAAGAAGGAATACACTTGCTCCACATGGATTGCGACACAAAGCGTTCACGGCCAGCATTAAAGTCCCGTCTTTCTTAACTTCTCCCATCTCCAGACTGCGGTCATCCAGGAACACAACACTCTGGTATTCCCCGGACAGAAGCCTGTTCCTGGTGTCCTCGTTGGGTACAATGTGCTCCAGCCCCAGGCCCCCTCTGGCCCTCCGGCGTACTATAGTACTGAAGCGCACATTACTGGAACCCGATATATGAGACGAGCTGAAGGAGAAAAACGAGCGACAGTCCAGAACCAGACAGTCCGGATCATCTCCCTCCAGCAGATCACGAAGCGAGGCCGAGTCGATGGTGGACACTTGCATGATGACCATAGTAGAGAATGATAGCTCTAAATACATACAGCGAGATAAACGATACGAGTCCGCGCGCTTGAAAAGCTCTCTCTAAAGTCCTTTGTTCGAGAGTTTGATTCAAAGATAGTCCGTTGAGCGGTGCTGAAATTCGAATTCTTTTGTTTCCAATTGAAAACTCGCTAGTGTGTTTCTTGACTTGTTCTGATCTGAAAGGCTCTGAGCGACGGTTATATACTGACCTCCCTTGCTCTCGTTGAGGGACATTGCGTCAAATGCTCCGCCTTTCTTGGCCCCTGGCCCGCGAGAATTCGCACGTACGTCAGTGTTATCTGAGCCTGCCAAAGCCAGTCGACCTCTAGACCAAAGAGACTGGTAATGTGGTCTGAGAGGTGTCACTAAATTTGAGTGTTAGTATTGATGGTGATGATTGTTGTTGTTGTTGCTGGGATGGTGGTTTAGGGGTTTTGAGTGACAAAGTTTCCTCAGAAGTTGATCTTTGATCTTAGACCCATTTATCAGCCAGGTCGACATTTGGCCATTTTGAGACTATCAGCATTGGCCAATAATGTTGCTGTTTTGGCAGATTAACACATTTGGTAGTTCCCTCTCATGTCAGTTCCAAACAGGGCATAAAGTGGGACACTTTCTGATCATTTATGTAAATATAAATTAGTTTTAAAATATGTTCCAACCGGTTAAGATATAAGAATGGAATTTTAAAATACGGAGGAAGAATATGCGCACATATATAATAATAAAGAATAATCTTAAGCGTCCCACTTTACAGGTATTCAGCAAACAGAAATTGATGAGAAATATTTGAGATCATATTGCGATCTCAGATTACTGGGGAGTTTTTCTCATGAGAAGTATGAGTCTAAAGTAACATTTTAATCTCTTCATTTTATGTCGTTGTTGACTATAGGGAAACAATCACGATATTAACAATTGTTTTATTTATTTATTTATTTCTGTGATGTTAGTAATGCTTCCTGTATTATCATCTCATAACAATCCAATAATAGTTGTCAAACATAAATGAATGTATATGTTATTTCCATTATATTATTGTTTCTTGTGATTTCTTAAAAACGTTCCTCTTCAGATAAATAACAAGATAATTAGTGAACCTGTCATTGTACTCATAAAAGTTTATACTTTGTTTTTATTGTACAGGAGTACATAGTGTGCAATGCCGTGAGAGCAAAGGGAAACCATAAAAGTTAATCACTGTATAGAAACTTGAGGTCAAGTAAATTTCCATCAGCTTGAAACACAAACCAAGCATGTATATGAGGCCATGGTGTAGGAGATCTATATTTTTAAGATAATCAACATGTTTCGACCAAAAAGTCAGTGTACTTTAGTGTACCTTAGGTTGTCAGAGTTTGAATATTTTACAAGGTACATCCATTACATGTAATTGGCAACTATTTTTATTTATTTTCTCTGTAATGTGATGTTTAGTTTTGGTTAACCTGCTACCATATACCACATTCCTCACAGCAATGAGGGCAAAATGTGTTGCTATGGAATTGGAGTGCAGTGTTTGCGAGTTTGTTCAGTGGATCAGTTTAGACATTTTCCATAAATAATATAAATTCCATAAACATTTTAATGTGACAGCCACAATACTTTACAAGAAGCAAAAGGACATGTAAGTCATGACATCAGTACTGTATTTCTGATACTTGAGTCAGGACTTGTGGAGGATTTCTGTACAAATAATTTGTCGGACAGAAAAAGCAAACAGATTTACTATTAAAAACACAGATGAGTCAGCAGAGAAATGCAAGCCACAAGATCAGACTGTAATGCCCCAGGAAGAACATTGTGTACTGCATACATGAGTTACAAACTTTGCATGCATGAGAATGGCACAGCATTGTTCATACTAACATTTAAATATGGAAATGTTCTCTGATATACGCTTTACAAAAACAGTTGTTTGTAAAACATTTATATCTACTATCTAAAAATTATAAAAGCACGTTCTGATTGTTAGAAAGGGAAGTGAAATAGTATGACAAATGAGGCATTTCCTTGGTGTAGCAAGTAAAATATACCAATGTCATAATAACGGACCATTTACGGACAGAGGTGCTTCTGAGCAACAGATGTCAGGCCTGGGAAAATACTTTGTATGTCCCTTTGCCTCTTTTCCATAAATCATTTATAGTAATTTTTGCATATTCTGTATTGTTGTCTGACAGCTGAAATTTCTCGAATGCACCCAGATATGACATAGTGAGACACACTGCATGGTGCACCACATCATTCAGCCGCAACTACTGTTTAGTTGGGTAATATGTGCAATGTCTAACAAAATAGTAAGATTGAATTGTATCATAGTAATTATATCTAAGGATCTTGTAATATCTTGTGTGTGTTTGCTTTGTCCTTGTTCGGCTGTTCGATATTTCATTGGCTTGAAATTGCTCTTTGTAAGTGCAATTTCTATAACATATTTATAAAATAACAAAGAAGAAATATTCATTATGTGAGAACCCTGTGAAGAATCCTCTGTGTGAATCCTCAAAATGTAGGGGAGATATATAACTGGAACACTGGAGTTTATTTCCAATAACTTAAATGAAATGTGTAATTTTGGGATAACCCTAACCCTACATTACTTGATACTGACTGTGTTCGGTACTCTGTTCCCATTGGGAAATATGTAATTTCTTCTTTTTGTGCCATTGCTGTTGATTCTAGAATCACTGTCATATTGTATGGCACAACTTCTGTTGAGCTTCAGCTTCAACGGTCTGTTGCTACAGAACAAGGCTGTATATACTTTAGACACCAATTGTAAAAATAACTTGTTTTATGTAGACATGGCAATGTAAACTGATTAATTATCGAAGCCTATTATTATTATTATTATAGTGAAGATCAGATTTCAGTCAAGTTAAGCAGAATTCCAATAGGTTCTCATTATGATACAGGAAGAACACAACATAGCCACATTTAGGCTTTAGTTGCTGTAGAAACAGCTTCAAACTGCTGTACCACATAAACGGAAGCAAAAGCAGCTAAATGAACTTGGACCTGATTAATCACCACAGGCAACGCGTTAAGTTTGCACGCCACAACTTATTTATTAACCGGAAACAGAATCACGCTGCTCGCTCCCCTCAAACCAATAGGATTGTGCAAAGCGTACTAAGCGGATGTCACATCCGGTCTGAACAGCCGGCAGGATTGAAGGAAGAGTCTGGAGTATTCCTCTAGTTGTGTCGTTTATCTTTAAACACGCTTGACTTGATTTGATTTGATCAAGTATTATATGTAAAATATATATTTTTATTTTATTCGTACAGACACAATGACTTTCGATGTGCGGAGGTGAGTAGAAGTTTGAAGCGAGTTGCTCGTGGGCTTGTGTTTTTTCTTTAGTGCATGAATCAAACACGTCCACCGTAGACACAATGGAAGTGCTTCAAAACCTAGTGAGCTGACGTTACCTACCTAGTATGTTGCGTAAACGCGTCTGTCATGCACTAAACTGCTGTCTAAGCAGCTCACTAGGTTTTAAGACGGCTAGTAATTCCACATACTACAGAAGAATGCCCAGCTTGACACTTTTACAGCCATTTCTTTTTTGTGTTAATGTTCTGTAAAAAACAAGTACTAATGCAGATATGAGCAGGGTGCTGTCCGCAGTCTTTTGGCAACTGCATGCAGCATTTATCACTTGATTTAGGTGCAGGTGAAAAGTTGTAGATGTGCATTTCAAGCATCCTAAATTAGTGTTGGAAAGACCCATCAAAAGTTGTGTTCCAAGCAAGAATTATGTCAGTTTTGCATAAGACATAACATTTAATATTGATGTTGCATAGTCGTCCACTAGCTTTTTTATGCTAAATTCCTGCTCATACTGGTTACACTGCATGGTTATGCAAATACAAAATAGGACCCACAACATGTGGAAATGACATTCAAATGCATCACAGCATGAGTTCTGCTGCTATATGGAAACCAAAGAATCGTCTATGAAAGAGCATATTAATATTGAATCTGTAACGGAATAGGTTAATATAATTTTAATACAGTTATACATTTGCAGAGACACATTAGGTACTGACTGGTATTATCCACACTGAATCAAGAAAAACATGTCTGTAGATCAGAGTGCACTCAATGCTTACTATGTCTTTTTCTTGTATTTTTAATGTAATTGTTATTATCCATGACAAAAAGTTTGTGTTGTGCTATGTGCATAGCCAATTATGGAGGACAAACGAGACAAACAATGATTGATTAATTTGTCGAAGGTTGATTTCTTTCAAAAGTTTGTGGTGTGTATGTTTTTTTGAAAGAAATTCGTATGCTCAAAAACACAGTAAAAACAGTAATTTTGTGAAATATTACAATTTAAAAGAACTGTTTTCTATGTGAATATGATTTAAACTCTGATTTATTGCTGTGATGCTCAGCTGTATTTTCAGCATCATTATACTCCAGTCTTCAGTGTCACATGATGTTCAGAAATCATTCTAAAATGCTGATTATTAGAAACATTTCTGATTTTTATCTGTGTTGCTATTATCAGCCGCGATGCATTTTTCAAGTTTCTTTGATGAATCGAAAACTCAAAAGAACAGCATTTATTTGAAACAGAAATGTTTTGTAACACTTTATAAGTTATGACTCTCACTTTTAATCAATTTAATGCATCCATGTAGAATAAAAGTATCCATTTGTTTAAAAAAAAAAATTCTTACTGACCCTAAACATTTGGTAGTGTGTTAAATTTTTCTCTAATTGTTAACGTCGCATATTTTTTTCATGTCGAGATACGAGGAAAAATAATAATTAAATCTGAATTGTAATTTATGCCTATAAATTAGTTTAGTAGTATTTGTGTCAGAAGCTGTAATGTAATTCAACCTAATGGCACAAAGGTATTGATGTTAATTTTGAGTTATTAATGTGTGAAATTCAGTATTTATATGTTCCCCAAACAAAGTAACAAAAGTAATTATAAAAATAGAACATCACTATAAAGATCATGTTTTTCTCGAGATTCTAATGTGTCGGATGACTGTAGACAGATTTAGAATGAAATGAATTGTGAATATCGGTGGTAGCAGGCGCCAGCATATTTCCTGTCTTTGTTTGCACTGAAAGTTCTCTGAGGCTCTTCTGGGCAGGGTAACGTTTAAACAAATCCCCCCCCCCCCCCCCCCCCCCCCCCGATAATCCATTACTCGTCACAAGATTTGTTGCTACTTCTATTTATTGTGACTTTTCACACTAGTATTTTCACCCCATATATGAAAGATCAGTTGATCTGAATCACAAAACTGGTCTCAATGGCTTCATTCACTGGGAATGGAGCATTTTTGTCTTTGGTTTGCTTTAACAGTTGCATATGCATATATAGGGCTGCGGGCATTGTGCTATTGCATCATAATACTTAACTGTTGGTAGCTAAGGCGACAACACAACCTTGTTTCCTTGTTTCCAATCAAGCTTCCTTTTAGCTCATCTGTAGACTAATCTGATTCCCCAATGAAAGTGCCAAAGAGGCCTGAAATAAAACCATTAGCTCTTTATATAGCAGAAATCACTTCCTCTTTAAAAACACACAGAGAATGGGGCTGTGTGCCAGAGAATAGACTCATAAACCTCCTGCTGTGGAACACACTATTATACCACAGTTCATTCCAGTCAACTGACTTCACAGTTATACAACTGGCTTGTACAACTGCAACCGCTAATTCATAAAATCTATAATAATGGATAAACAACAACAAATCTGCGAGTACATGTGAGAACCTCACAGAGTTCAGTGAACGAGCATTGGTGTGTGTGCATGTAAAACAGACTGAGCACAATAGAACAGAATTGCAATAATTCTAAAATATACATGTTGCAAATTTTTCGTTTTATAATTCTACATGTAACAAGCACTTGGATTTTTGTGAGCACAGTGACAGTAAAGGGACTATTATTATATACGAGTATAAATTGAATATAACTTCTATATTCAGATGAATGAATGTGTTAACATACCAGTTAACATACAGTCTGTGCTTTTGTATTTATGATCATTTTTAACTTATTGACTTCAAATTGTACTGTAATAAAGCAATCAGTTTGTTGTTTTTGGCTTTAGAAAGTAGTGTTTATATTTTAACCTTTTCTTTTTAGATGCATTCACTATATTTGTTTCATAGCCTTCAAATTGCATTGATCAATGTTTGGTGGACAACATATAATAACATAATTTTTAACAGTTATTCATTGTGGCTTTTCATCCAGCTAAGAAAGAAATAAAAGAAACAAAGAGAAAAAAAATGTTAGTTGCTCTATTACATTTAACAGCACTTGATGTTTTACTGGTTGTATCACTAGTCTTTTGTTTACTACACAGGCCATAATTGATCCTGCTTTGGAATTGTTTTCATAGACAGAACAAAAATAATGAAGAAAAGCTCACCACATTGTATACATCATTGTGATATTGCTTTAGCAAAAACGAATCACAATACTGTGTCTGATGTTGCAGTTATAGAAGACATCATTACAGTTTAATGTGGGGATTGGATTCAAATGTATTTTATTGTCACTGTGGTACAGTCTTGTATCTGTTAATATATGAGCCCTTCAGCGTGTGCTGACGTATAATAAGAAATATCTGAGAGATCCTCTTCAACAGCCTGGGGGAACGTGTGACTGTTACACCTGTTGTGCAACACATTGAAAATAGTGTCTGTTCTGCCTAATCCACATTTTTGTGTGTGTACTGAACACACTTTTGTGTGTTGTTGCATGTTTTCCATATTTTCTGCTTCACATGTAAAGAGATAAACATATAGACATTAGCTTTAGTTTGAGTTTAGACTTTTCTATGCATTTTCAAAATCCCTGTTTTCAGTTGTGGTGATATCTGTTCTTGAGATCTGACCTGATCTCATAAGAAAGTGTAACTCTTTTACGCGGTGGTGAATTTGTATAAATTCACACAATGATGCTCAAGTGCATGTACCAATATTGCTTGCCCTTCGTGTGGTATTTGGTCCAGAAAGTTCATTAGGCTTAAATTAATGTGTGAATACGGACAGATTTATATTAAACTACATTTAATGAAAGTGCTCTTCAGTTTGATAGCAGAAAGTCATACGAGTACAGTCGCTCCATAAAGCATTTTAACACTGAATATGACTATCGTGTTCTTTCTTTTTTTCCATTAGACACAAAAATCTACTTCGGGGCCACTGTATATTCTTCAGTCTCGTTTACAAAATCGGGTCTTGCACAGTAAATGAAGACATCAGGGATGTCAGTGGTTTAGGAACAGCATGTCCTTCTCCTGAGTTTCACACAATGGGGTTCCCTTCTACATCCTGTGAGCTCTTCTGTCAGAACATGGTGAACTATGTGGTTCCTGTCGTGGGTATAGCAGAGAAACGCCAAACCCCCCCCCCGCATTGCGTCAGCTTGGGTCATTTCACTGCAAGAAATGTTCACAGATGTACGTGTTTTTGAGGGCAGGCGGCGTGAAGGTTTCAAAGCCGAAAAAGGGCACAAGACTCCGAGCTGGATAGTTTTGCTTTGGAGCTAACACAGTTTGAGAGCTCCTTAAAAAGTCAAGGATTGGACACATTCCTAAAGGGTGTAATATTACACATGGACTCGTGGAGAGTTTACTTCTTTCTTGGTGTCGTCTTAAACGAACCAAGGATTGTAGTTTCTTTTCTGTTAATAAATAAACATAACTCTGATAGTTTGTTGTGCAGTAACTGTCTTTGTTATTTAATAGAATTGCATATATCATGTATTGCTTCATTGTTCTCTATACTGTGTTTTATTCAAAGGAGGACCATTCGTTTTTAAGGCATTCTAAGAGCTTGGTCTACTTTTGACGGCAAATGCAGATGTTTTTCAGTGCAGTACAGGGGAAATGCATATTACCTGAAGAATTAAGTATTGTGCAGTTGCACACAATAGAGTGCAGTTAATTTGCTCAACTGGAAAAAATCCTGTTCTTGACCAGTGTCTGGGTGAATCATAAATCTGTATTTTTGTAGTCATATTTCATATTAGTCGTATTTCACTCAAATTAAAAAATGCATTTTTCAAGACTATTAAAATGTTTTGTTATATTTGTTGTTAGCAGTATATTCATAAAAATAACAAATGCCACTCATTACCTCAATACAGAAAATTATGGAATATGAAATATTTTTTGGTTAAATTGGATAAGTAACATGAAAATAATGTCCCACTCCCCAAGATAAGAATTTTTTATTGTCTGATTTTTTTTTTGTTTTGTTTTATTTATTCAAAATATGAATGAGTTTGGGCTGAAATATCACCTTGATTGTTTCTTAGTGAGACTCAACGATCTTGTTTTCCTAAACAAAATATGTAAACATAATTAGGTAACACTTTACTTGAAGGGGTGTGCATAAGACTGACATGACACCTTCATAATCATGACATGACACATGTCATGAATATGAAGGAGGTTTTATGCATGTTTATGACAACTGTCATTAAGTGTCATTCGCTCAGTTATGTAATTTTTAATGCAAATATGACATTATTTGACCTAACCCTGCCCCTTACCTTACCCCTAATCATAGCCCATAACAAAGACTAAATCTCAAACAATGCCATCTTTGCATTAAAAATTACATAACTGAGCGAATGACACTTAATGACAGTTGTCATAAACATGCATAAAAAACTTCATATTCATGTCATGTGTCATGTCATGATTATGTATGTGTCATGTCATGATTATGAAGGTGTCATGTCAGTCTTATGCACACCCCTTCAAGTAAAGTGTAACCCATAATTAAAACAATATACATTCTTTGGAGTAGCAAAATATATTACAAATAAGATGTTTTGTCATTATTTTGTCTTGTTTGGTTTGTAGGTATTTTACTTGTTTCAGGCTAAACCTCACTAAATTTAGGTTAATTCAGTAATACAGTAATTCAGCGAAAAACAAAACAAGTAAATTTATCTCATTTTAAAATAAAAATGTATATCTATTTTGACATGTAGTGTAGCCTGAAGGGCCCTTTTTAAGCCAATAATTTTTAGGTATGTAGTTTTGAAATGTGTATTGTTTGCCTTCCCTGACATTCACTCTGGTCACAGTGATCGATGTGTATTTATTCAGTGCTGACAGCCTTTGCTCTGACCTCAGCCACAATGTTGTGTGAAGAAGGTTGTGATTGAAATGCAGAGGAAGAGGTGTAACTCAAGAAGTGGGGGTTGCTTAGACTGTTGCGTCTGGGCCGGTGTTTCATGGACATTCCTAAAGTCCTCTGTAATGCCATAAACTACACTGAGAACACAATGTGCTTTCACATGAACTCTTCCCAGGAGTCTGTAATGTTTACCTTTCTTTTTTTCTCTCTTATTCTTCTCTCTCTTTTCCTTCCAGGTTCGATATCTACAGGAAAGTGCCCAAAGATCTTACCCAGCCCACGTATACTGGAGCTTTTAGTGAGTGCCAATGTTTATAATGTTAATTTGCCATCATAGACCCTCATCCACTCCAGTAAACCAATAGCTTGCTTCATCTGGCACTGGCTTTTACTGCCTGTTGCTACTCTGCTGCTTCATTTGTGTGCTTACATCAACATTCCTCCTTTGATCCACAGTTGTATTTTTTTCCAAATCAATTTGCCGAGTCAGTTTTAGTTTCCTAACTGTTCCTAACTGAGTATGGCTCATCGTATCCTCATGATTCAGAAGGATGGATGTTTGTAACACTAGGTGTTGCCGTTTGACTCATGATAATATGATACGTAGGACTATGTCATTCTACACTCATTCCTGTGGCTCTGTCCATTGTTGTTTTGGCCTCAAGTGAATTACTTAAGATTTAGTAATGTTTGCTGAAACCTGTGTAGACCAACCCTAAACTCAACCTAAATATTTTGCTCCTTAACCGGTTCTGTGATAAAGTTTTCAAGTACCCAAATGTAAATATCTAGGGTAGTTGTGTTAAAGGGATATTTCGCCCCAAAAATTAAAATTCAGTCATCAATTACTCACCCTCAAGTTGTCCCAAACCTGTATGAGTTTCTTTCTTCTCTTGAGCACAAAAGAAGATATTTTGAAGAATGTTGGTAACCAAACAGTTGACGGTAGCCATTGACCTCCATAGTATGGAGAAAAAAAATATATACATATACAGTGGTGTGAAAGTTTTTGCCCCTTCCTGTTTTTTAATTGTTTGCACATTTGTCACACTTAAAAGATTCAGATCATCAAACAGATTTTAATATTACACAACGATAACCTGAGTAAATACAAACTGTTTTGATATTATGATTTCATTTATTAAGGGAAAAAAGCTGTCCAAACCTGCCTGGCACTACGTGAAAAAGTAATTGCCCCCTAAACCTAATAACTGGTTGTGCCACCCTTTGCAGCAACAACTGCAATCAAGCATTTGCGATAACTGGCAATGAGTCTTTCACAGGAATTTTGGCCCACTCTTTGCAGAATTGTTTTCATTCAGCCACATTGGAGGGTTTTTGAGCATGAATGGACTGTTTAAGGTCATGCCAGAGTATCTCAATCGGATTTAAGTCTGGACTTTGACTTGGCCACTCCAAAACCTTAATTTTGTTTTTCTTGAGCTACTCAGAGGTGGATTGCTGGTGTGTTTTGGATCATTGTCCTGCTGCATAAACCAAGTGCGCTTGAGCTTGAGGTCACAAACTGACGGCCGGACATTCTCTTTCAGGATTTTCTGATAGAGAGCAGAATTCATGGTTCCATCAATTATGGCAAGTCACCCAGGTCCTGAAGCTGCAAAGCAGCCCCAGACCATCACACTACCACCACCATGTTTGACTATTGGTATGATGTTCTTTTTATGAAATGCTGTGTTGGTTTTACACCAGATGTAACGGGACACACACCTTCCAAAAAGTTAAACTTTTGTCTCATCAGTCCACAGAATATTTGCCCAAAAGTCTTGGGGATAAACAAGATATTTTTTGGCAAATGAGAGACGAGCCTTTGTGTTCTTTTTGGTCAGCAGTGGCTTTTGCCCTGGAACTCTCCCATGGATGCCGTTTTTTCCAGTCTCTTTCTTATTGTTAAATCATGAGCACTGACCTTAATTGAGGCAAGTGAGGCCTGCAGTTCTTTAGATGTTGTTCTGGGTTCTTTTATGACCTCCTGGATGAGTCGTCGTTGTGCTCTTGGAGTAATTTTGGTTGGCTGGCCACTCCTGGGAAGGTTCCAAGCTTTCTTCATTTGTGGATAATGGCTCTAACCGTGGTTCGCTGGAGTCCCAAAGCCTTAGAAAAGGCTTCATAACCCTTTCCAGACTGATACATGTCAACTATTTTGTTTCTCATCTGTTCTTGAATTTCTTTAGATCGCGGCATGATGTGTTGCTCTTTAAGCATGCTTCACTTTGTCAGACAGGTTCTATTTAAGTGATTTCTTGATTCAACAGGTCTGGCAGTAATCAGGCCTGCGTGTGGCTAGTGAAATTTAACTCAGCTTTCTAAAATGATGTGGTTAATCACAGTTCTTTCATGATTTAAGAGGAGGGGCAATTTATTTTTCACGTTGGGCCAGGTAGGTTTGGACAGCTTTTTTCCCTTAATAAATGAAATTATCATTTAAAAACTGCATTTTGTATTTACTTGCATTATCTTTGCGTAATATTAAAATTGGTTTGATGATCTGAATCTTTTAAGTGTGACAAATATGCAAAACATTTTAAAAACAGGAAGGGGGCAAAAACCTTTTCATGGCACTGTATATATTTATGTGTATATATATATGTACATATACAGTAGTCAACATTTGAAGTGGGTCAAAAAAGTTGTCCTGACAAGAACGGGTATTGTTTTGGTTTTAGGACAACTTTGATGAAAGGTTTTGATCCACTTCAAATTTTGACTACTGTGTATATATTCATTGATGTTCCAAAACTGATTGGTTACCCACGTTCTTCCAAATATCCTTTTTTGTGTTCAGAAGAAGAAAGAAACTCATACAGGTTTGGAACAACATGAGGGTGAGTAAATGATGACAGAATTTTCATTTTTAGGTGAACTATCCCTTTAAGATCTTTTCAAAATGAACGTCTAAGATTACAGGATCCGTTTGATTTAATGGACTTTTAAAGCTTTTCCTTCTAGTTAACAATATGGAAACAGGACAGAAAAAAATCTATACAAATACTATGATAAACTGCATCTGTCTGGTTTCATTGATTGTGTTTTTAAGGCTGTTAATGAAACGTATAGGGAAAACAAAAATCAATAATCTACAACGATAACCGCATCCATTTCATTTAATCAACTTTTCTGCCTTTCTGTAGAGTTGACAAAAAGATAGATATAAAAGAGGGAAGGGAAAAAGACAATAAGCTAAATCAGTGAAGATAGCATAATTTGTATGATTTAATCCATCCTGTTTTTAAAGAAGATCTCGTCATCTGTCTGATTGAATCAACTCAAGTAATAATTATATCATCAAAGTGTTCATTCTTTCCCAGTATTATCTTCATTAAAGTGGGGCAAGTGTTATAACCGACAGGTTTTGATCCACTTCAAATTTTGACTACTGTGTATATATTCATTGATGTTCCAAAACTGATTGGTTACCCACGTTCTTCCAAATATCCTTTTTTGTGTTCAGAAGAAGAAAGAAACTCATACAGGTTTGGAACAACATGAGGGTGAGTAAATGATGACAGAATTTTCATTTTTAGGTGAACTATCCCTTTAAGATCTTTTCAAAATGAACGTCTAAGATTACAGGATCCGTTTGATTTAATGGACTTTTAAAGCTTTTCCTTCTAGTTAACAATATGGAAACAGGACAGAAAAAAATCTATACAAATACTATGATAAACTGCATCTGTCTGGTTTCATTGATTGTGTTTTTAAGGCTGTTAATGAAACGTATAGGGAAAACAAAAATCAATAATCTACAACGATAACCGCATCCATTTCATTTAATCAACTTTTCTGCCTTTCTGTAGAGTTGACAAAAAGATAGATATAAAAGAGGGAAGGGAAAAAGACAATAAGCTAAATCAGTGAAGATAGCATAATTTGTATGATTTAATCCATCCTGTTTTTAAAGAAGATCTCGTCATCTGTCTGATTGAATCAACTCAAGTAATAATTATATCATCAAAGTGTTCATTCTTTCCCAGTATTATCTTCATTAAAGTGGGGCAAGTGTTATAACCGACATTGAACCTGAATCCGTGAGCTATGTGTCATAGCGACATGCCTTATTGTTTGTGTTTTAGCTAAACATTAGCTTGAGTAAACTGGAACAAACCAGAGTCAGAGTATGACGTGTGAGCCACAAAGTCACATGACCACAGATCACTGGAGACTGTCTCCATGTAAATATGCACTAGCTTCTGCAGCCAGCTTTCTAGTTTGACTCATTTGGTCACATGTTGATCTTGGTAACGATTACACTAACCAGAGCAACAAAGCCACGCATGTTTATTCGCCTGTTGAGCACCCCTATGTAATGCCCCTTTCACTCTTATATACACTTGACATGTTGTAATAATTTTGCATGGTCAGACATAATTTTGAGAAACGACATCACTGCTAACAACAAAGAACATTTCTGAAAATGAGTTACTTTCCGCAAGCACTGACTTAAAATGTTACTTTGAAAATATCTTCACATAATATAACTAGTTTTGTTATACAAACAGCTCACTATTTTTTTCTTGACATTTTCTTATCCCCTCAGTTTCAGTATGCTGCTGTGTCTTCATGTTGTTCCTCTTTCTCTCAGAACTGACGGGATTCATCGCTACAGAAATGTATGTATGAATGTTGTTCTCATAAAGACATCAGTCAAAAATGGCAAGGACATTATTTTTTTTGGGGGGGGGGGTCCAGGAGATATACAGTGGGTACGGAAAGTATTCAGACCCCCTTAAATTTTTCACTCTTTGTTATATTGCAGCCATTTGCTAAAATCATTTAAGTTAATTTTTTTTCCTCATTAATGTACACACAGCACCCATATTGACAGAAAAACACAGAATTGTTGACATTTTTGCTGATTTATTAAAAAAGAAAAACTGAAATATCACATGGTCCTAAGTATTCAGACCCTTTGCTCAGTATTTAGTAGAAGCACCCTTTTGATCTAATACAGCCATGAGTCTTTTTGGGAAAGTTTGGGAACAAGTTTTTCACACCAGGATTTGGGGATCCTCTGCCATTCCTCCATTTACACAGACACAGACTTACATACAAGCATGTTATGATGAATGTTTTTTTAATTTCTGAATTAAAATTTATAATCAAAAATGTCTAGGTGATCCAACAGTCCAAAGATCATAATGAAGGGGAAAAAAGTCTAGTTTAAAATCTGAACCTAAAATAATTCAACCTCAAGAACAGGTCAGAATAGTTTTGAATCCAAAATAATATTAGTGTTCAATACATTGATTTTAGTGCGATGGTTTGACCATATGACATTTTTAGAGTTAGTAAAAATGTTTAGGTTTTGTTGAAAATGGTTATTTGAGGTGTTTTTATCAACACTCAAGATGCATGAATCTATGATGCGAATGCAATCACACTGTTGTAACTTTAGTGACAGATCAGTTTCACACAGGACGTAAACATTGGTGCCTGTTTGTCAACTGCTGTCAAGTGTTCACCGGGGGAAGTGAGGAAACGAAAATTGCACTCACTGCAATTTTGTTATTTTACTGTCAGGCTTGCATAATTCTTAGCAGTTGACCTTTACAGATGGCTAATGCTTGTCAGTACTATATTTAATGTTTGTGTTTTCGTGTGTGTGTGTGTGTGTTTACAGAGTAAATGAACTGTATGTGGATGACCCCGATAAGGACAGTGGGGGGAAGATAGATGTGAGTTTAAACATCAGTTTGCCAAACTTACACTGTGATTGTGAGTATATACATAAAATACATAAACACTCTTACCACATGTGTATCATCAATTATCTTTGTTGACATGTTATGTGTGTTAGCAGTGACATTACTGTTAGTGTGGGATCTTAATTCATTTAGCAGAGCTCCTGACGTACATTGCGATAAGAATCCAAAACTTTACAGTCACTGAAAGTCTCCGTTTGAGACATATTGTGTGGGCTTTGTCACAGAAGGATTAGGATAGACCTATCCGTCCATCAAACGGGAAACATATAGTCATACGAGAGCAAGCATATGGGGAAATACTGTTTCATATTTGGTAATGCTCTGCATACCAGTTTGCCAAATAATACCTGATATATCATGTTTGCGTAAATGATTCAGTCACATGCCCTATTTAACTAGAGATCAACTATTAAGTCAGAATTGGAATATTGTAACAATAGTTGATCACTAGTTATTTAGATTAAGGCTGGGCAATGTGTCAAATGACTTTGCTAGTGAGATAAAATAAGGAAACATTTAACTGAAAATGGTTATATATTCTTCCTTGTGTTTATTTTAGTGAAAAGTGTTTTATTATATGCATATTTTTACTGTATTTTAGGAAGATAAATACGTAAATAGCTATTAAATATTTTGAATGTGACTCTTTTGTCTCAATAAATTGGGAAAAAATCCTAAAAATATTGAGATTAGGATCATAGAAATATGGGTCCACTGATGAGTTTTACCAAGCATAACCAATGTCCCTTGCTGTTGAAATTTGTTTGCAAAGTGACTTAAAGATCGTGTTTATAAAGGTCAGCACCCTCAGAGGAATTGTGGTCACCTCTGATGTCATTTTCGGGCAGATCCTCAAATGTTTGCCAAGACGTGCTGTTTCACACACATTATGCGGAGCCCAAACTATGTTCAGAGCAACGTCTTGGGCAGTTCTGACGGGTGAGAAATAGAGGTCATGCCTATTATGGAAGACGCATTTTCTTTTAAATGAGGCCCTTCTGACTGAAACCCAACTTTGTCTGATTTTGTTATGAGTCATGGAGACAAGCCTTACTGTGATCTCAATAATGACCTCATTTAATGTACTGTTTTCAAACACCTATTAGAAGTACAAGTAGACCTTTTCTGAAGAACACGAGTGCCTGTTTCCCATGTTGCCTCCATGATGCTAAGGTGTTTGGGGTGGTTGTTAGGAGATTGATATGCACGTAATGTATTCTTGAGTGGTTTCTAAGGTGTTGTGGTTGGTTGCTAGGTGGTTAATGCTGGCCTTCTGAAGTCAAATGTAAGCCTCTCTGAAATTCTGGCCTCTAAATATGACTCGAGTCATTACTTCAATACTTAAAAGTCAATTGGGCTTTTTTTTTTGTGCTTATTTTATTGTATACCATATGAAATGTCTAGAATGATAAAAGCAATAATAGCACATGTTATGAATGGATCATGAGACTTAAATTTGGTCCATAATAACTGATAATTGATACATGGCATTTGACATGCCATATCATGTTATCCTCGGAAAAGGATTAAAAAAAAATTTTTTTTGTATTATTTTTATTTGTATACTTTTTACAAAAGTACATGTGGTCTTTCCATGTTGTTACTCTTACCATGCTAAATTGGTTTTAATTTTTGGAGGAATACACATTGTTCCCTTGGAGTAGCAACGTGACTTTTCGACACTTGTGTGCTTATGTGGAAAATGTGGATGCTTTTTCCTTTATGCGCTAAGAAAATGTTGCAAGACCTTTAATATTCTGGGCACGCATCTTAAAAAGGCAATTAAATGTTTTCGTTCACACATTTGCTCTTTAATGAGTGGAGATTTTGTTCAAAGTTTACTGGAATCTAAAAACTGGCAAAAAAGATGTTGTGATTTAAGGCTTGAATTGTCGGATCAGTAATGAGCGACCAGTGCAACGTCAGTATTTTAGCTCAGTGGAAATAGTCAAACACACTGGAAAGCGTTTAATAGAATCATTCTTCCTTTCATTTTCTGGCTGGCCTTTATTTTTTGTGCTTTTGAGATCATGAATAGTATAGTCATCACAGGTGTAAAGAGTAAGTGTTGCGTTCTCGTCCATTTAGGAAGGCAGTCTTAAAATAGCATTGGGCGTGACAACATGCTGTTAGCATACACCACTGTCAGACGATCTGCTACGACACACTACTGAGGTTTTTTATTTCTTAGCTGTGAAAGGTCAAATAAACAGTTGTGTATAATGATTCTACTGAACTCATGAACTTGATGCATATGTATGAAGATATTTGTTTGTTGAAGTTCACCAAAACATGACTTGGCCAGTTACTCTATGAAGCTCCAAAAACACCAAGAAGTTGAGAAAGTTTAATTTTTTTTTAATTGTAATTGTTATTGTAAAAGTGTCCTTTTGTACAATGTAAATGAAAGTGTTTCAAGCTCTTGTGTCTGTATTTTTCTATTTTCTGTTGTGTCTATATATTTGTATATACATAGTGGTGGGTTTGGACATCCAGGATGAGATGGGGCGGCATGAAGTGGGCCACATAGACAATTCAATGAAAGTGCCTCTAAACAACGGTCACGGGTGCCGCTTTGAAGGGGAGTTCAGTATTAATAAAGTAAGATGTGCTTGATGTCAAATGCATTCTTTTCTACTTGTTTGTTGTTGAATGTTTCTTGTGGAACTTCTCATTATAAGGCTAGAAGCTATAAGGAGTGTCATTAGTGTCCTTGTAGATTCACATGCTACCTGAAGGGCTTAACCATTATTGTCTTCAAATGAAAGGCCTTCTCTAAAGTGAATGGAAACTGTACCATCTGATGTGTTTGCCTGTATGATAATGGTGTTGACTTGGTCTGTTTTCTGTAGGTTCCAGGAAACTTTCATGTGTCAACACACAGTGCGACTGCTCAGCCGCAGAGCCCTGATATGACCCACATCATCCACAAACTTGCCTTTGGGGAGAAGCTTCAGGTTGGGTCGTCCACATGCAGTCAATAAGAATTATAGACCATGTAAAATAAACATGTGTTACAGTGTCATGTCACTCAATTGCAGGTGCAGCATGTCCAGGGGGCTTTTAATGCATTAGGTGGAGCCAACAGACTTCAGTCCAATGGTATGTGTTCTTGTGAGCTTTCTAGACGCTTACTCTATAGACATATAGCATACGTAAGCAAAGCAAAGGCATTTTTGTGTATGTGTATATATAGTTCTGTAAAAATGTGTTCAGAAATACTTTAAAATGCAATTCTTATGTGCAGTGATTTGAATATGCCTCTTCAATGAAGAGTGTATTTAATTTTTTGTGTCAACAATGTCAGGGTGATGCAACTGCCCTGGTATCCTAATGAGGAAGCCTCATTATCATGGTAAAACTTTATAACAAGGTCCCATTATTTCATTATGTTAGTTAATGCATTTACTAAGAATAACTAACGATGCACAATGCATTCATTAAAGTACTTATTAATAATTGGTAACATTAAATCTGCAATATATAATGCTAAAAGTACAACTGTTCATTGTTAGTTCATGTTAGGCCAGGTCCATTAAATAATATTAACAGATACAGATATTTCCTAATAATATTAAATGTTTTTTTCCATTGTTAGTTTGTTAACTAATGTTAACAAATAAAACCTTATTGTAAAGTGTTACCATACTCATTTATTATTATTGTTTATGAAAAATACTGTAACAGAACTGCTTCTCTGCTTGGTGATATTTGAAATATTTTTGTCTGCCAAATAAGTCATGTGGCGCAACCAAGAAAGTCATGAGGTGTAATCAATATGCAGAAAAAACATAAAGGAAATTATATCACATAGAGGACCCCTGCAGACCCTCATGACTTTGTATAAATGTCAATAAATCTTCTATCTGGCAAGGCAAGGTTAGAGAGACTCTCTGAATGCTCAACCTCTTAAAAGTCAAGTTCTAATTTGCTTGTAATGTTTTTATTCATCAGCTGGAAAAAAATTGTTCTGAAAGTCATTCCAACTGTATTGTTCCTCTGTGTTGTTGTTGTGTGGACTTTACTATTCTCATAGAATTAGAACCATGATTATAACTTTATAGTTAAAGTCCATCCTTTGAGTGAAAAGACCTTAATTGTAGTACCAAAACCCGTATCAAATCCTTTGCCCCATGTAGACCTAAAAATCATACGTCCTTAATACTAGAGAAGTAACATGTAACAAAATGTAATACTTTGAGTTACTGTAGGAGTTTGTTCAAACCTTTAAGTATGAGCAATACTGTTATTGCTGCATTACTGCTGCACACACTGCTTGCGCTTGTCCATTTGTCGACTCGTGTAACTGAGAGACATCGAAGTGCAATGCTTATGAGCGTCCAACCGAACATGCATCACAGATTGTATTGCACATAAATAGATCACAGTAACAGGAGAAAGAACAACGTCACTCAATTGAAATAAGCTACCATCCTGTCTGTTCCTCTGAATCTGTATATCATGTCTAGAGAAATTAAGCTATGTTTCTTTTTCTTCAGCTTTAGCATCTCACGACTACATTCTCAAGATCGTCCCTACCGTTTATGAGGACCTGGGAGGGAAGCAGAGATTTTCCTACCAGTACACTGTGGCAAACAAGGTAATCTGAGCCACAAATATCCACGTTACTGAGAAGCTCGTCTGAAATTACGAGTCTAAATTTATGAATGCGATTTGCTGATGGCTTCCAAATCAGCCTGTGTTTACCACAGATGCTGAATGAATTATGTCTCTCTATTATTAAGTACCATCAACCATTTATCACCTCTAAAGGCACTTCAGGGGACATTTGCAGTGACAGCTGGCGGCATTATGTGTGTACGTGACCAGAGAGCCATGTGCTGTGAGTTAATATGTAGTCAGGTTGTTCTTATTCAGAGGGTGTAAAAAGTACTTAAAGTATGAGTGTAGTGTCAAACCTTTGACTCTGCAAGGCTCTAGGAGACATGCCTGTGAAACAGAAAGTCATTACCTGAAAGTGTTCAGCAGCAACTGATTTGATATTCATATAAGTATAATTGTTTGAGTAATTGTCAACAATGTTTAAATTCATTCTTATTTTATGTATTGCTTTTAGGCCAAAGAATTTTGTAATGAGGCCATAATTGTGGCCAATTAAATGGCTTTCATTGGCTGTTCTAAACTGGAGACTAGACATATCAGTGTTTTATCCTCACACAATTAGGCTACTTTTAATTTATTTTTTTTCGTGTGGGTTTTACAGTCATACATTTGATTGTTTTTGTATTTTTATTAGGTTATATTTTAAACTAAATAATGAAATAGTTGGATAGCAGAAAGGTAATTAATTACAGGTAATAATATGATAATAATGTGTATTATTTTTATTTCAAATAAAATTCTATAATATTTATAATAAGTAATATGAAGTAAAACCAACACAGACCTGTATGCATTTATATTGTGCAAGTAAAAGCCTTACTATTCATCATTTTCCCCCTTTGGATGTGTAATTGTTTTTTTTTAAAAACCTTTTTAATGTTTTTCAGTGCTGCTACTTACATTATACAACAGGCCTACAAAAGAAAATCTAAATATTAATACATAATCTAAAATGTGCATGTTTGATTTAGGAGTGGTTTGAGTTTTGGCGTAGTGCAACAGTACTTACATTTTGAGATGCCTTGGTTCCCTAAGTATTCTTCCCATTCGTTTTTCCTATAGGGTTTTTTTAAAAGCCTATTTTACAGTTATAAGCCATGAAACCAAACCAGCCAGCTACAAGGCGAATCACAATTTTACAAACTTTAATTTGAAGCAAAAAACTATTTGAAAATTGGACGAAAAAACAAACGGTACAAGATTATTTTGTACTTTACTTTATCGAGGGAAAGAACTTCAACCCCACAAGCATTGCAACAAGGCATAATCAAAAACGATTGAGAAATATTGTTGTTAATTATAAATACATATTAAAACAATATATTTTATGTCTATTGCAAAATATGCATATTCAAATATTTAGATGGTTTGAGAGTGTAGGGAGACATTATTTACAGTGCTTCATGGGAGTGTGTGAAGCTCTTTTGGTGTGGTTTGCTCATTTGAGTCCGCTGATTGGTGGAGATTTCTCTGTAGAATCATGGGTAATGTAGTTTTTCAGTGTGTCACACTGACGCATACACTCTGAGTGGGAGTGACCCTGAGTGCTTGTTTATATATTGTTAAAAATAATTTCCCCTATAAAGAAAATTAATTCCCCCCTCTTGAATATGAAGAACACATGTATTCAGTTCAAACGGTACTGGAGTATTTTACATTTAGTCATTTAGCAGACGCTTTTATCCAAAGCGACTTACAAATGAAGACAATGGAAGCAATCAAAATCAACAAGAGAGCAATGATATGCAAGTCTCAGTTAGCCTAACGCAGTACATCTCTTAAATATTATATCTCTTAATTCAGAGTTTATATCTCATAATTCCGTTTATATCTCATAATTCAGTTTTTATATCTCATAGTTCAGTTTATATCTCAGTTCAGAGTTTATATCTCATAATTCAGTTTATATCTCATAGTTCATAGTTTAGATCTCATAATTCAGAGTTTATATCTCATAATTCAGAGTTTATATCTCATAATTCATAGTTTAGATCTCAAAATTCAGATTCTATATCTCATAATTCAGTTTTTATATCATAATTCAGTTTATATCTCATAATTCAGAGTTTATATCTCATAATTCAGAATTTATATCTCATAATTCATCGTTTATATCTCATAATTCAGTTTATATATTGCAATTCAGAGTTTATATCTTGCAATCTATTAGGAATAATGTTATTATTAACTAAAGCTAAAACTATTAAAACTTGAATAAAGCTGAAATATAGTATAAACACTAGATAAACTTAAATGTAAATTAGAAATGTTGCCTTGGCAACTAACTGAAGCAAAATAAGTTTAAGTAGGAGTACTAATATTACTAAAACTAAAATAAAAAATTATTTAAAACTATATAGAAATATAAAAAACTAATAACAATGACAAAAGCACATAACAAAATGACACAGAATAATTAATTTAATTTAAAAACATTTTAAATAACTGATTAAACGACTTAAAATCTTAAAATTAAAATCAGTACTGAAATTATAAAAAATAAAAGCTAATTCAAAATTTGATAAAGAAATGCATAATAAAACAATGATAGTATATAAATAATAGCAGGTTTGGGAAACGCTGCACTAAACACAGATCGAGTTCCTCCAGCAACACCTTATGCTGTTCTTCATAATAAACAGAAACGCAGGGTTTAAAGAGAGTTTCCTGCTTTGTAATTACAACTTTTTGGAGGTGTTCGTGTGCATTCATCATAAATATGATCTATCCGACATGAGCTGAATGCACCATATGCCATACACGGATAAACAGTGTCTCTGTGCTCAGTATAGAGCACTGACAGTCCAGTATAATAATGCACAGTACTGTGCAGCTGTGAATTCCTGTGTGATTATTTTCTAATTCAATTATATATATTATTGTAACCTCAAAGAGTCGATCTTTGATTACGCATGACAATGGAAAAAGCTTGGTAACACTTTAGTTCAGGGACCAATTCTCACTGTTAGCTAATTGCTTATTAGCATGCCTATTACTAGCATACTAGCTGTTTATTAGTACTTATAAAGCACATATTAATGCCTTATTCTGCTTGACCATATTCTAGATCCCTTACTCCACACCATACCTAATCTTAACAACTACCTTACTAAATATTAATAAGCAGCAAATTAGGAGTTTATTCGTAGTTAACAGTTCATTAATAGTGAGAATCGGTCCCCAAACTAAAGTGTGACCAAAGGTTTTATTTATTAATTTTTTTCCTAGGAGTATGTGGCGTACAGCCATACAGGACGCATCATCCCGGCGATATGGTTTCGCTATGACCTGAGTCCAATCACAGTGAGATACACCGAGAGGAGACAGCCCTTCTACCGCTTCATCACTACTGTGAGTCTCTCTCTATGTTTATAACTTACTCTCTCTCTGTCTCTCTAATGATATATATATATATATATATATATATATATTGATTCTGTCTCGGTCAGATTTGCGCTATCATCGGCGGGACGTTCACAGTGGCCGGCATCATTGACTCCTGCATATTCACGGCCTCTGAAGCCTGGAAGAAAATCCAGATTGGGAAAATGTCATGAGTACTCATATCTACATACCATGTCTTTTATTTATGCCAGCCAAACCTCTGCACACCCGTCATTACAACCTGACCTACACTAGCCACAACTGGAAAACATTGTCACGCCTTTTCACGCGGTTTTCATCTCTAAACATTTAATACAATGAGTTACAGGGATTTCATTTGGAGGATGTAGGTGGTTTCCTTACTTCACTGCCATATTAATTCACCCAAAACTTTAATAGTGGATCTGATGTGGGAAGAACCTGTCTCACTCACTGGAAGGACGCCAGGGTTTCCTCATTCAAATAGACGTTACTGAGATGTGTAAGTGTATAGTGTTACATACAAGGCATAGTGTCACTTTGATCGGTTATAGTGAAAGAGTTTAAATAGAATTCCCCTTAAAGAGAAATAATCACGGAGTTGATTCAATATGTACCTTCATAGGAACTGGGCTTTTTTTTTTTTTTTTTTACCAAGTCCTGCTTGATATGATAGGGTTAACCTCATGAAACCTGTCAGAGAGCATGTCTTGTTTGATTTTTGGGGTCATATTGCACCTCAAAATGAAATGGACAAAAATGAAGTTGTAAAAACATTTTTACATTGTGATTTATTTGCATGACAGTTAAACCCATTTCTCCCGATTCTCATTACATTATACAAATAATTGTGTATTATTTATAGTGAGTTTGCACATCATTGTAGTATGTTGTTGTTTTTGTTGCCTTTAATATGTGCAGATTTAAAAGATTTTACTGTATTTTTACACGATTGTATTACACTAATGGGAATTATCATTGAGAATTATGTCCAGATGCATTACGGTAATGAGAGTTTGGGGTTAAATGTGTTTTTAATTATCATGAAAATGCCCAAACAATTTTAATATTTCTAAAATCGGATTGATTTTCATATTTCTTTTGATTTGGGGGTGGACTGTGAGCTGTACATATTTCACGAGATGAACCTGTATGTTTTTAAAGAAGTGGATGCCGGTCTTATTTGGGTTTAATTAAGTAATGTGTATTCCCAGATTCTCTTTCCATGTTACATTTCGGTTATCTTGCACTCTGATGTCATTCTGGTTGTAGACCTGCATTTTATTTGGATTGTTTGATTGAAGGGAAATTATGAATGTCTTCTTTTTTTTAACTAAAAGACTCTTGAAGGAATGTTTTTTGTTTATTTCGGTGTCTCTAAAGGTACTTTGTGGCTTAACGGTACTTTTATTTCCTCAGTTTATAAAGTTTAATGGTTAACCTTTTATTGTTGTGAAGATTAGGCTGGAAACGTGTTGTTTAGGTCTTGTCAAGCGTTCCCTCTCAACACTGCTGTAAAGAGGTTGAATCATTTCCTGTCAGTGTTTTGACCGTGTTCTAAAATCTGGTTGCACTGGTTACACAGGACTGTTCCACATGAAAGCAAGCTATGCGTCAAACGTGTGACGTGTCGTTGACATGACAAGAGAAGTGTATTTTCACTTCATTTAATGAGAACAGAAACCACAACCTACTTTTCAGCTTCGTGGCTCAAACTATTTTATTTCTTTTAGTCAAACTTTAATCAAACAAACCATGACTGCTGAGTTTCCACGCTCGTTTCAGCAGATATAATTTAGCCCTACTTAATCAAATCTGGGCTACGCCACTTTATTCTCTTTGTTTACCATGGTTAGAATAAACCACAGCAACAGCTGCTTTCATTGTTGTTGGTTTGTCTTTTCAAAATTCAGGTTAGTTTTTTTTTAAAGGTGTACCATAATGTTGAAAAGGAATCAAAATAAACATTATGAAGCCATTCGACACGAGACTTGTTTCTTAATTAGGTTATTAAATGAGTACTTTGAGTTTATTGTCTTTAATAATAATGTCTCCTGATAAAAAAAAAAATATATATATAATATGTATATTTCCATAAAATTATTATTAAAATATAACCATATAATTTATTCTAGATCCCTTACTCCACACCATACCTAATCTTAACAACTACCTTACTAAATATTAATAAGCAGCAAATTAGGAGTTTATTCGTAGTTAACAGTTCATTAATAGTGAGAATCGGTCCCCAAACTAAAGTGTGACCAAAGGTTTTATTTATTAATTTTTTTCCTAGGAGTATGTGGCGTACAGCCATACAGGACGCATCATCCCGGCGATATGGTTTCGCTATGACCTGAGTCCAATCACAGTGAGATACACCGAGAGGAGACAGCCCTTCTACCGCTTCATCACTACTGTGAGTCTCTCTCTATGTTTATAACTTACTCTCTCTCTGTCTCTCTAATGATATATATATATATATATATATATATATATTGATTCTGTCTCGGTCAGATTTGCGCTATCATCGGCGGGACGTTCACAGTGGCCGGCATCATTGACTCCTGCATATTCACGGCCTCTGAAGCCTGGAAGAAAATCCAGATTGGGAAAATGTCATGAGTACTCATATCTACATACCATGTCTTTTATTTATGCCAGCCAAACCTCTGCACACCCGTCATTACAACCTGACCTACACTAGCCACAACTGGAAAACATTGTCACGCCTTTTCACGCGGTTTTCATCTCTAAACATTTAATACAATGAGTTACAGGGATTTCATTTGGAGGATGTAGGTGGTTTCCTTACTTCACTGCCATATTAATTCACCCAAAACTTTAATAGTGGATCTGATGTGGGAAGAACCTGTCTCACTCACTGGAAGGACGCCAGGGTTTCCTCATTCAAATAGACGTTACTGAGATGTGTAAGTGTATAGTGTTACATACAAGGCATAGTGTCTCTGATTGGTTTAAATAGAATTCCACAAGAGAAATAATAACTGATAAATATATATATATTGCTTTTAATATGTGCAGATTTAAACAATTTTACTGTATTTTTACAGTGTTGTATTACACTAATGGGAATTATCATCAATGAGAATAATGTCCAGATGCATTATGGTAATAAGAATTTGGGGTTAAATGTATTTAATTATCATGAAAATGTTACAATCCAAACTATTTTAATGTTCCTAAAATTGGATTGATTTTCTTATTTCTTTTGATTTGGGGGTGAACTGTGAGCTTTATGTATTTCAGGAGATGAACCTGAAGGTTTTGAACCTCTTTAACCTGGTCCTTTATTTTTAGTTTGATTGAAGGGAAATTCTGAATGTCTTCTTTTTTTACCTGAAAGACTCTTGAAGGAATGCTTTTTGTTTATTTCCATGTCTGTAAAGGTACTCTGTGGCTTAATGATACTTTTATTTCCTCAGTGCATAATGTTTATTGGTTAACCTGTTATTGTTTTGAAGTTTAGGCTGGAAACGTGTTGTTAATGTCTTGTCTAGCGTTCCCTCTCAACACTGCTGTAAAGAGGCTGAATAATTTCCTGTCAGTGTTTTGACCATGTTCCAAAATCTGGTTGTACTGGTTACACAGGACTGTTCCACATGAAAGCAAGCTATGCGTCAAACGTGTGACGTGTCGTTGACATGACAAGAGAAGTGTATTTTCACTTCATTTAATGAGAACAGAAACCACAACCTACATTTCAGCTTCGCGGCACAACTACTTGGATATGTCATAGTCTTTTAGAACCTTTAAAGTTATTTAAATCAAACAAGCCATGATTGTTGAGTTTCCGTGCTTGTTTCAATGGTTATAATTTAGCCCTACTTGATCATTTAGTCACATGGATGTCATCTTCTGGTCTACGCCACATTTTTCTGTCTTTGTTTACCATGGTTAGAATAAACCACAGCAACAGCCAGTTTGTTTGTGTTTGAATGTCTTTTCAAAATTCTGATTTTTAAAAAAATGTTTTAAGGTGTACCATAATGTTAAAAAATAATCAAAATAAACATTATGGAGCCATTTAACACAAGACTCAATCTTAATTAGGTCATTAAATGAGTACTTTGAGTTTGTCTTGAATAATAATTTCTACTGATAAAAATATATAATACATGTTTCCATAAAATTATTATTAAAATATAACAATATAGTTGAATAATATTATATTATGCAGTATTGTAAAATTTGTCATCAAATGCCACTATCAAAAAAAAAAATCAGTCAAAAGATGATATAGTCCTTTATTTTTTCCCCCCTCCATCCTGGTTCTTTTCTCTTTTTTTTTGTACAAATAAAAAGAAGTTTACTCCTTATATAAAGATATATGTAACTAAGGCGATACAATACTTTTTTGGTTTGAAATGGACATAATGGTGCCACCCAGTGGCTGCTAAGAGAACTTTACAAAGCTAGACTTCAGTTCAGTTAGTTGTGAGGGGGCGGGGCCTGGTTACGATTGGCCAATCAGTGCTGTTACAGGTTAGAGGTTGCCGGGCAGGCTCCCTGGTATATGGCCTGATCCGACAAGGAGAAGAAGTCGCTGACGCCCTCCTCCGACAGCTGTCATCAAATGCCACTATCAAAAAAAAAAAATCAGTCAAAAGATGATATAGTCCTTTATTTTTTCCCCCCTCCATCCTGGTTCTTTTCTCTTTTTTTTTGTACAAATAAAAAGAAGTTTACTCCTTATATAAAGATATATGCAACTAAGGCGATACAATACTTTTTTGGTTTGAAATGGACATAATGGTGCCACCCAGTGGCTGCTAAGAGAACTTTACAAAGCTAGACTTCAGTTCAGTTAGTTGTGAGGGGGCGGGGCCTGGTTACGATTGGCCAATCAGTGCTGTTACAGGTTAGAGGTTGCCGGGCAGGCTCCCTGGTATATGGCCTGATCCGACAAGGAGAAGAAGTCGCTGACGCCCTCCTCCGACAGCTGGCCGTACTCGTTGTTGTAGAAGGTTTGGCCCGAGATTTGGCTGAAGAAGGGTGGGCGCAGTGTGCTGCTGCTGCCATTGCTGCTCATGGACGGAGAACTGATGAGGCGTTCTGTGCTGCGGCCCTCCCATGGACTACAGAGTTTACACAATGCTTAATGCAACTCCAGAGTACGAAAACTGATCAATTATAAATGAAGTGAGCCATAGCCATAGTCATTTTTCTAATGATAAATGGTGTGCATAATCTTCAGTTTCACCTACTTTTTCAACATGGCCCCTCTGTGCTTGTGTTCAAACCTCTCAAGCTCATCTGATGCCAAAACCATCCCACTGTCTGTCTGGCTGTCCTAAAGGGACACAAAAATGTATGAAACTGTATACATGTTAACATTCTTCAGCTTATAAAAACTATACATATATTGGAGGTCTAAGTCGTACATGATGTGTCTTGTGTGATGTCATTTCCAGAGGAAGTTCCTCAAAGGTCTTCACTCGTGAGTGACACGTGCTGGAGGGTCCGACCATGATGCAGCCAGCGAAAGGCACGCAGTTGTAATATCTGGGCAGAGAGAAGCATATATATTCAACAAAGGGGCATAAGTACAGTGGAAAGTCCAGCACAGTCCTGTTATGTGGTTCCTAAGGTGTTCTGACTGGTTGCGATTAATATTTTAGTATTGAGAGATTTTTTTTGGTGTCATTGTCCACCATGTAAAACTACGTCTGATTGTTTAGAAAGACAATAGCACACCTCTCCTTGAAAAGACACATGATTTATCATAGACATAAGATATTTTTCATACTAAGGGTTATAGGCTTATTCAAATCCCTAATCCAAAATACTACAAGCATTAGCAAACACTACAAACAATTAATCCTACTAAACCTACTGTATCATATTTGATGTACATGAATTTCTAAGGCCTCTAATTATTAACATGATCAAAACTTTGCTTGAAAAATCTGCTGTACACAATCTACTACATGCCTTCTTATTGTTGATAGGTTATACTGAGCAAGTAAAAGCTAGCAGAAAACTAAAAACATCCCCCTTCAGGTTGTAGTACACATCAATATTTTTGTAAAAAATTTAGGTCAGGTACATTTTAGAACTTCTATTATTAATTATTAAACATTTGTATAGTACAGACAACTTTGTAATAAATTTGCATGTTTTTTTTTTTTTTTAGGATATTTTGCTTTTGCAAGGATGTGAACATTCTAGAAGTTTCTGTAATATTCTAGTGCTTTCTGTAACATTCCAGAACATCGTGGGACTAGTCATAAAAGACAAAAATCATCCAGCGTACACTTTTGAAGTTTTGGATGACTCACTGTTTATGTTAAACTGTTATTAGCTTACTATTATGCATGTACCATATCATTTTATGCTTGAGTAATAACATATTAGCTTGTATATGTTGTCAGCATTTGTTTTTAGTTTTCATGAACACTCTTAATGATACACAAAAAGTGTATCATTACACAATAAAAACTACAGAGCTTTGATAATTAACCTGAGCATTTAACCCTTGTGTGACCTTTTGGACATTTTTGTCCTTTTCAGTTTAGTTTTTTTTGGATAATTTTGCCTTTGTTATTGCCAACTGCATACATTTTGGCACAGATGTGTATTTTTATTGGAATTTTACTATTTCACTTCAATTTCCTTTAATACATCTGTTATGCACTACGTACAAAAAAATTTTCCTCTCAGGACCTTAAGGACAAAAATGTCCCCATTGAAACCCATTAAAACTGCTATTGTTAATCGCAGTGCCATTTAACTGTAAAATGATGCAATTTTTGTCAATAGGCTTTCAAAATGTTGGCAAGGCTTTAAAATATTATTTTTTACTATTTTTTACCAGATGGTGCCATTTTTTCAGGTTTGGCCTATAAAGCAAATACTCGCTTTATTCCTGTTTTCTGCTTCTGCAAATGATAGAGCCAATTGGATAAATATTGCAGCTATAATTGGGTGGGTGTGTTGGTATGGATGTCAGAGTGTGGTTTGTATGTGTGTCATAAAAAAATGTGTTCTTGTAAAATTTGAGAGAGAAAAACTCTACTGCAAATCACAAATCCAACCACTGTGTGCTCCAGCGGAGTTTTGTTGGCATCTAATGGGAAAAAGTCGTTTTTTTTACTTCAGCGATAATCTGCCATGGGTCTTCTTTGAAATGAGATCAAACTTAACTCTGTGCTCCCAAGCTTCAAATTTTTATGTCCACTATGGACCTATGTGTAACTTTTTTTAAGTGACGCACAAGGGTTAAATATCATCTTACTAAGACATATTATTGGGAGATAGGAGATATAGAGTGACAACTGATATTTATATGCATTTTATGTAAGAAGTCTGCTATAGAGCTATAAAGATCTCACTGATTTACATTGCAAGCTTTCAGAATTTTAGAATCAGAATTTCATAAATATCAGCAATAATTTCACAAATATCAACAAGAGCCCCAAATCGCACATTTTTTGATTTTTTGGATGTTTGAATAAAATGGATGTTTTTTTCCTCCTTGAGTGTGAGGTATTTTTCTGACTTATTTCATATGTCAGGCTTTACAGGGTTAAGAACACTGGAAGTCAATATAAGGCCCCCAACACTGATATACAATGTGCATGTACCGAGTGGACATTGTGTTGCAGGCGAGTCTGATCTCTTCCTGTGATGGTTGTCTTGAGGAAGCTTGTGAGAAGCCATCATCCTCTGAGCTCTGAGACACATTGAACGGGATTTCCTAAAAAAAAAACAATACATTTCACATAATCATTCAAATATACACCATTGGCCATTCTATCAGTTTTATAACCAGCTGACTTGAAATATAAAGAAGGTAGTGTACAG